AATAAGAAAAAGTTTTCCCGAGAAATTTTGGTGTAGTCGATTTTTGGTAAAAAAGGAAGGTTATACACTGCCTATTTTTGAGGCCCGCAAAAAAATTGTCTCAGATCGACCTGGAAAAAAAATGTTCTTATAGAATGTGGCCTGTAGAATCCATAATTTCAAACAGTTAATTAATTTATCACTTGATGAATATGCATGGAAGTGTTTCAAAAAGTTGGTTTAGGTTGATTTTGGAATGTTTACTGCGGCTGACAGACCGTAGGACATTTCGGCCCTAATACCGGTCCGCGATTCCGTGGCCAATCAGTGCTGAGTACTGCTATTTATGCGCTTGCTCGTAAGTGGATCGAAAATTAAGGGTCTCAGTTAACGAAAATGGTCTAGGTGTACGCCTCCACGTCGGGCCTCACACGCCCCAACTCCTTGGGATCCAGGTTCGGTGACCGGAAAACAAAAAAAAAGACATACAAAGAAAATATCTGACCCAAAAGATGGAAGGTCGGTGGTATCGTTGCGGGCGGTTTATCGCGCATTCGTGTAGGTGTAAAGGTGGTGCCGTTAATTTACGGCATGCTTAATATACCATGCTACTACCTTAAAACGCAACCATTTACTAATCTATTCCGGTTTTAAAAAAATGCGCATTATCTACACAACACAATTTATACGCGTTTAAGAATGTAACTTCCTTCAAAGACCATAGATTGGCGTAGGGCGGTTTGAATTTGGTATAGTAATTCAAATTTAAAACTATTAAGATTTTAAAAGTCAATTTCCATTCGGAAAAGTATTACTTTAACACAAATTATTGCCATTCCTTTTACTTTTTATGTCTCAATATCAATTTTGATTCCATGCTTTCAAATCACAACAAAGTAGTTTATGCTAAAACAAGCTGGAAAGTAATGTATCTTGCAAACTGAACAACCTACTTGACATCCTTTATAAACATCAAACCAGGCAAGTTATGTTGCTCAGCTCAAGTCGAGTCTTTTGTACTATTCTGTTTCCTCCGTGGTTTCAATTTTACAACGAGGGAGCAGCTTAATGACTGTCCGTCGCAGTTTAGGAAAACAGAAAAATGCGATGAATGTACGAATTGATAATACTGTACTGTCAACATCCGTGCTCGTCATCTTCCATTCCTTTGTGTAAGATGACTGCCATGTAAAGTTTATATTTTAACAAACTGTAGAAATAGGTACTTATATTCACATCGTTTTCGTGGTGAGCATTTTGAACCGTTCGTCCTTACCTCACTTTATGGATGGAAGGCGAGGGGGCTTGTCTCACTTGAGAAAATGAGTTCACTGGGCCGTAAAAGTGCAACACTTCTTGCTGATAAGATACCTACCTTGACATAAAAATCTAAATTACCGATAAAAATCCGAACACAATTAAAAAAATACAAGGGATGACCATATGCTCTAATGAAATGCACATTCACAAATTGTGTGTGAAGTTCAATGGGAGAAAGTATGTTGTGCAGGTGTTCGATATGCTAATGCAAAATGATAAAGGCAAGGGATCGTAGTAATAATAGCACAATTATTGCATATGCCGTGAACTTGAACTGGTTTCATTTACAAAAATGGTTATCTGTGGGAAGATATTCGTTAATTTGGGACGCTTTATCGATCAGAAATTAAATTGTTGTCGTCATCGGCGTTTGGTTTATCCAGCTATCTCCGAGGCGTTCCAGTATTTGCGTAACGTATTGCGGTGTAAATGTCAAGAAGCTGTAAAAATCACCTACGCAAAATGCAGATTTAACCCAGATTTTCTTACATTTTTATGCACTTGCCCAAGAATTATTGCTTGAGAATGAAGGATAAATCTTGGAAAAAGTAAAAGTTCTGGGATCTTTCCGACTTGATATCTATCGGAAAAATCGATCGCCTACTCACACAAAATTTGGGAGAGCCGTCGTGTTGCTCAATTTGCACGGTTAGGCAAAGAAATCATAAGCTCATTTATCAAATTTGCGTATAAAACTCGCAAATTAGTCATTCGACAGCTTCCCAAACTAATGACCGGAGGTTTATACTGAATGAATATAGCAAGTTAGATTCCATAAAGCTTCCCAAAAGAAAAGCGTGCACTTTTATCCAGGTCACTTCAATAAAAGATTTAAGTCTGTAATTATACGACTTGTGGTGACTTAACATTGATGATACACGTTTTTCTCGTCACTTTCTTGAACTAACATGGCCAATACCATCATGGAAACCATATGAATATGTGTTCCATGCAGAATTTAGGTGGTATTGTTTCTGTAAAATCCTTCTTATCTGATTTGCACTTATTGATACATTATCTTCAACCAAAAAATCAGAATAATCATAATCTGTTTTTAAAATTTGATCCGAGGTTTTATAAGGGAAATCTAAAGAGTCTCCCATTTTAAAAACCCTCAACTTTTTAAAAATTATAATCGAAACCCGTACCACCAATCATCCACCTTTTGGTAATCAATGCCGATAAAGGTTTATCATCTTGTCATAAGATAAAGATAGAGAGTTTATTTAGTAAATAAATGCATGTTTGGTATGTTAACAAGTTGCCTATTTTAAGACACAAGATGGATATAAATGAATGACACACTTAACAATTTTTTCTGAATCTCTTTGCTGAAACCATATTCTTTGAATCGACTTACTAGACGTTTTGTCACTGTCAACAGATCCGATGTAAAAATGTTGTTTAGATTTTAGTGAGTTTTGGGGTCAGCGATACACGGTTCATTCATTTAGAAGAAGACATAGGGATTTCATGTGTCTACTTTTAAATGATCAAAATAATTCTGAAATACGCCTACTTTTATGCAACCAAAATAGCATGCGCACGCATTCCGTACTGTTATTCTGGGAATATTTTTTTTCTTATGGGATTCTTTTAACACAAATATTAAAACAGTCAATTTCATATCGTCCATTAAAATTAAGGGTTGTTTACGGTGGGGTCTCATGTGGATCGTATTTAAATAACCACTAATTTTAAAGCGATCAACACAGAAAATAAGTCTGTTATATTACAATTAATTAATATGGCATCAAAATCTTGGTTTGTTTTAAAAAGTTATTTTGGTTTGGTTAGGCGTCCTTCAGAAGAGTTTTGGTCATTTAAAACTAGACATAGGAAATCCCTGTGTCTACTTCTAAATGAATATCACTATATATTATTATATTCTGCTTCTCCGTGTCAACAGCATCGAATAGTTTGGTTGTGGCCTCTTTCACTTCGAATTTGTTGGAATCTGTTGTTCACACGAACGGACGCGAGTCCAGAACGTGTCCTAAGGTCTCGGATGAGATCTTTGTATGTGTGGTCAGGTCAGGATTCAAGCTGATATCTCGATTGAATTTATACATTTTGGTACAGGTAAGTTTGATCGCAAAGTTAATTACTTTGACCCTAACCGGTTCTTGAAGTTGTCAATTTTGTGAGCGATTTGCAATCTTCGGTGGCCATGATGGTTAGCAGGTTCTTGTAATTTTGTTTCATGTCGTTGGGTGTTATGAATTGTATGAATGTAAAATAAGTTCAGCTGAAGAAATAACTCCCTCCAGAACAATGGGGTTGGAAAAGAGGTACGACGATGAACACTTTCGCTTAGTAAGCAACACAGTTCTGCAAGTCCCAAAGGAAATTTTACAAGTCATTCCTTGCCGTTGTTTTACTACCAACTGCGGGGCCAGCAGGAAAATGCCTCCTCGTGGGAAGAACACCTACCATTTTTTTTATTAATATTGAATCGACGAAGATTCACAAATAAAATTAGTAATCATTTGAATTGAGAAACACATTCAACAAGTAATCACAAAATTACAATTTAAAGAGAAAACTAATGAGCCCATCAAGCTCATAATCAGGGGTTGGCCAGGCTGGGTGCAACCACACCTAGAAAGTGGTCCTGGCCCGTCTGGAAATTATGGTTTTAATGGATCCTTTACTAAATATAAATATACCTAATAACTAACCAACATACTAGGTAGGGCTTCGTTAACTTAGAACCACATTTTTAAATTTCCATGTAAAAAAAGTTCATCTGGTCCCATTATAAATTATGCTAAAAACCCTTGACTTTCGGGGAGTGCTATGTTAACGCTAGCACCATCCGATTGCACCCGATACAATTTTATTCTATTTACAAGAAGTTTAAAAAATACATAAAGAGCTACGAAATTAGTTAATTCGCAAATATGGAACAATTTGTTCAGGAATGTAATGGGCAAACTATAAAAAGAATTGAGCCTTCAGTTATAGAAAACCCACCCTGTAGTTTATACATATTAGAAATTACCTTAATTTAATGAATAAAATTAAATTCTATGTAAAACTGTTTAACCCATAACTCCCCATTTAATTAGTGACAGAGAGCTGTAAAGTAGTGCAACGTGGTTTATTTATTTACAATCAACTAACAATAAATTTATAACAGTTTTGAAATGAATTCATTTAAAACCGTAAATGTTGTTTTTTAATTTATTATGTAATTTTTCATTGCAATTATATTTACATTGAATGTTTGCAATAAAAAATTAATTGTCATTGAATGTTTACTACTGTAGCGAATATTCCAGAAATCCCGATAGACATCGAGTAGTCTCAAGGCTTCCACACGAATCCTGTATCCTTTAGGATCGTATAAATTGTCAACTAACGTTTACTATGCTTTAACTAACGTCAACTAAGGAAAATGCAAGACGCAAACGTGTTTAGGGGTAGTTCTGGCGACGTAGGGGGTGCTTGTGAAATTTGCCCCCTTACTTTCATTTTTTTATACAAATAGTCCATCAACTATAGTCCTCAACCTTGCTTCAAAGTACGTACTGCTCCAAACGTCCATTTGCGCTAATATTTCCTTCTATTACGTTCATATACAGGATCTCAATAACAAAACGGATGATGAAGGGGACCAAAACAAACATTTTTCCAAATAAATTGACGGTTAATATATATTTTCCACTATATTACTGACAGTTTTATTTCCTTAACAGAAAACAATCCTGGACAGCATCGGCCAGGAGGACGAAAACTTCAAAGGCGATGGCTACACAAGCATGGCTATTATTTACGCCGTCTTCGCTGTCTTCAATTGGCTCGCACCTTCCGTCATCAGTTTGGGTGGACCCAAGATTGCCATGTTTTACGGAGCGGTTACATATTTGTAAGCACCTCACAGTGGAGTAACTAAATTACGAAACTTTCTTACAGATTCTTCATTTTAACGTTTCTCTGGCCGAAAACCTGGCTGCTGTACCTAGCCAGTGGTATCATAGGGACGGGCGCTGCAATGATCTGGACCGGACAGGGAAATTACCTAACGCTGAATTCGACACCGGCCACCATTTCCCGGAACTCCGGACTATTTTGGGCGTTACTGCAGATGAGGTAAGACCTCCTGTTTTGACAACGTGTAACCTGCCCGCTTTCAGCATGTTCGTGGGGAATCTCTTCGTCTTCTTCCAGTTTCGCGGGTTGACCCACATCGATGTTAATACCAGAACCGTTGTTATATCAGTACTTGGCGGTATTGCGGCGGTGGGCATCGTAATATTAGTTGCGCTGCCACGTACCCGGATTGGAAGTACTGATTCGGTCAACGTGATCGAACAGCAGAGGGGACCCGTTGAAGCACTCAAGTCGGCAGCAAACCTGTTCCTTACCAGAGAAATGATTTTGCTCAGCGTCACCTTTTTCTATACAGGTATCGAGCTCTCGTTCTTCAGCGGGGTCTACAGTTCAGCCATTGGATTTACCAACGCGTTTGGGGAGAGCGCGAAGCAGCTGGTTGGCCTGTCTGGTATATTCATAGGCGCTGGAGAGGTACTGGGTGGTGCGCTGTTTGGAATTCTCGGTGCTAAATTCACTAGGTGGGGCCGTGATCCGATCGTTATCGGAGGATTTGTCTTCCATTTAGCGGCGTTCTTCGTTATATTCCTAAACTTGCCTAACAAGTCTCCATTCGCGCCCACCGACGATGAGGCCTTCATTACGTCATCGGCGATACTAGCGATCCTGTGCTCTTTTCTCCTAGGTTTTGGCGACTCCTGCTTCAACACGCAGATATACTCGATGCTGGGAGGCGTTTTCGCCCACGACAGCGCGTCGGCGTTTGCCATTTTCAAATTTACTCAGGTAGAAGCTTTCCATTAATCGTACGATTCACACGCTCTGATTTCAGTCGGTGGCAGCGGCAATCTGCTTCTTCTACGCTTCCGCCCTGGGACTCCACGCCCAGTTGGGCATCCTACTTTTCCTATCCATAATTGGAACCGTGACATTTGTCTACGTGGAATGGGCCGAGAATAAGAAAAAAAAGAAGATGGAACCGAACGAGGATGAGTCGGACTCGAGTGTTCAAACCGAAAAGTTTTAGACATTTTTACTGAGAGTTCCAACCACAGAATATTCGTCCTATAAATCATTCATTATCCTTTATCTGTGATAAAAAAAGCACAACTTTGGTACTGTGGTTGATTTGCGAGCGACGTAAAGACTGAGTTTAGTCTTGTTATAGATGTATGTAGATTTATTCGTTACCTACCTTTATATGTAAAGTCATACTGTGCCAATCGAATATTGTACTGTTAGTAGCATTGCTGACAATAAGTGGCTTTAAATTTTATATAATTTTCGTAATTAATCTTTTTCTTACCTTACTGCGTATTACCTAATTCAAGAGCAGACAAACTCTCCTTTTCCTTGAATGCTGAACATAGTATTCCCATGACATGGGTAACGTGAGGTGATGGATGCACCTTTCCAACGAGCATGTTGCAGGCCCATGCAAGTATGCACACCGATGCGGCGGTTCGCACGCATATTCCGTTGTAGAAATATTTCCCGTATCCGTCCCGCTCCCGTTCCCGCGCGTATGTGGTCCTTAAATTGTCTTAAGGTTTCCAATAAGATCCTTTCTGGGGATATTCGAAAGAGAAAATTTCCAGAAGATGCTTTTTGTGAATACTATGAGACAGGAGAGAAGGGAAAGATGCATGTAAAATTCCAGAGAGGCCTTGAAAAAGGTTTGTAGGCGGACCTTTAAGATTTCGTAGAGATTTTTTTCTTTAGAAAAAAATTCTATAAAGATAAAAACGTGTAGGTTTAATTTGACAATTTAGAATCATTCTTGAAATTTGATTATGCCAGAATTGTCGCGAACTTTTTTAAATTTTTCAAAATTTTTGTAGAGATAGAGACATTTCTTCATTTTGCAATGTTTCTATAGTATATTACATCATAAGGTTGGAATACTGCGTATTACAGGTGAGCAGAAAAATTGCAGCGGATGATCTATTCTAATTTTTTTTTCATTATGCACGGGTGTAGGTAATGGGTACTATAGCATGCCTCTAAATTATACGTTATGACTTATGACTTCATTTTCAGAGGGGTCGTAAAAAAAGATTATTTCGAAGGAGGCCAATTTAGTCTTCTTTTCCGATCTTGGCATTATCTCTTCCTCCTATTTATTAGCGAACTTTTCTCGAACGAAACTTTTCTTCCATGCTTTATGTTTGAGATGCGCATGCAGTCCGATATCTCTTCAAAATTCTTTATTTATTATTTTATCTCTGAGCTTCTCAAAAAGCCTACGCCAAAGCGTTTTATTTCCTTTTTTTCTTCTTTCAGGTGCGGGATTAGTAGCTTCCGTTCTTCGCATATTTTTTGTGGGAAATCTTCTCCATGCTTCAAATTCGTGGCTCGCTATGGGGACCTCCGTAACGATGACAGATACAGGGTAGGTTAAATAGAGGCAAAGTTGCCCCTTTTTGTGTTTAAAAAAACGCATTCGAAATTTTTTTTAAATCTTTGAAAATAACAGAGATATCACCGAAAATGTAAAATTTCTTTTCTTATTTGCCCTGAAATGTACCGATCCGGTTAGCGCCTTCTCTGGGCAGTGGGCACTCTTTTTCGGAGAATCTGAATCCATTATTAGAATTTCCATAGCACGCTAGATCTAGAAGCTACATGCTACTACTTTCTTATTTCTTATGGAGGCCATATTGGATTTTTTCTGAATGAAATGGAGAACATTTGAATGCGTCGCCATCATTGGTTCAGCAAGATCTAGTTACCCGTGAATCTTTTGTTGAGAAATGAATGCAAAACATTTGATTCTACAATTTTTCTTATAAATTTATTTAAAAGTAGGTATAGTATGACACGTCATTATTTCTCTTTTTAGTCCTCAATCTCATTCCGTAAAAATACAATATGGCGTCCATAAGAACTAAGAAAGTAGTAGCCTGTAGCTTCTACATCAGGCGTTGTTAAAATTCTTATTACAGGTTCATATTCTCCGAAAAAAAGTGATCATAGCAGGTCCTAACGGAAATTCTTCATACCCAACCGTTTAAGCTAGGGAAAAATTAAAACAAAATTTGACATTTGAAATTTTTCGGGGATCCCAATGGTGAGCCACGAAATTGAACCACCCTTTATCGTATAAAGTTACCTACACGTATTTCAAAAAGCGATTCATTTCCGTAAATTTGGACGGTAATTATACAACAAGATAACATCTAGTGCTTTGATCGCTTATTTGAAAAGGTAAACGGGTCCGGTGGCATATTTTTGCTATTTCAATTTCTCTTATGGCATCGCCTTATCATTCAACTTCAATGCGTCACAATGTCGCAAACTAGTTGAGTCACAGAGAATGAAGTAAACTTATTCTCAAATCTCAGTTAGTTATTCGACCCCTAACGGTGTGGTTCACGTAGGTATTCAAATAAATCTGGACCAGGTGAGCTCTACAAAATAAATTTCTTGCGAAAATTGTTGTAAATTTACGTTTCTGGTAAATGTTAACATCTACAAAATTGTGACAATCAATATTAACTAAAATTCATTATGACGTGTGCGACAAACAGAAGGAAATTCGATGAGGTACACCTAAGTGCTTTCTTGGTCTGTGCTAAGAATGTAAATATTAATTAATTTTGTCATAAGGACTGACGTTACTTTCGATGACCTAAGTAAATTCTCGTCGGTATTTTTAAATAGGTTATTTTCATTTTGTACTTTTCTGTTTTTTTACCACCCGCACGTTAGTAGGTAAGTGAGGTATTGCATTGCGGTAAGTAAAACACGTTTTGGAGCGCCAGGAACCCGAATCAAACAAAATCTCGATGATGTCGGTCTCTCTGTCTGTCGGTTCGTTTGCACTCCCATTTTCAGCTAAACGGCTGAACCGATTGGAACCAAATTTGGTACACGTATACATAGGCATAAAAGAGCAAAATCGCGCAGGTGTGCGGGTGGTATCCCATGCTAGCCACAGAAAATTTTATTTATATTAGTTTTGTGGTTTCGATCTTTAGCTGTGTGGCCGGGGAACAATAACCTATCAGTGTGTGGAAGGTAGAACTGTCTAGGGAGTATAGGATTTGTCGTTGACAATCGCTGAGTGGGCTGAATGTGCAAATTATTTTATTTCAATGAGCAAGTTACGTCAAAATAACATAACATAAGATAGGTAGCTATTGATGCCATCACCGTTTTTTGAACATATCAAAATTTCATACATCTCGACGTTTTACATCATTTTAAGTACCTAACTTGTACGTACGTTGGCAATTGATAATTTTCCAAGGTAACGCATAGACTGATTCGGTTCCAATTTTTAATATGTAGGTATATTAGACATACGAAAACGGAAAATAACGAATTTTTGAAAAAAAATTTTGGAGCGCATCAACGGCATCGAATTATTACAATTATTAATCGTGTATTGTCTTGTGACAGTAAAATCAAAAAAATAAATAAAAGAAATAGACAAACATGAGCAAAAAATAAGCCAGGCGTTCCCACCAAGTGGTCACCCATCCAAATACTAACCGCGCCCGACGTTAAAACTTCGGTAATCGGAAGAGAACCGGTGTTTTCAACGTGGCATTGCCGTTGTCGAGAAAATTACTGTTGAAATAATAGCAAATCATTTCTTAAAATGTTGAATTTCGTGATTTTGGGCTTTAGGCACCTTTTAAAAGATCCTTAAACAGTTTTCGCATGTTAGACGAAAAGTGCGTCAAGATCGCAGAGGGAAAATGCGTCAAGTCCTGTGTTAAGAAAAAGACAAAAGCAATAGAGATAATCCAAAACAAAGCAATTTTCAATTATGTACCAATATAAATAATTAACCGTAATTAATAATCGTTTAAGATATAACATCCAAATTACATTGAATTCTGTCAGAGATCAACAAAAATTTTCCTGTGGGAATTTAAAACAGTTTAATGTTTAGTAATAAATCGGTACATATACAACAAATTAATATGACTTTTAGCAGTGTATATTAGCAAAGACTATCCTCCTTCAGGATAGTCTTTGATATTAGACTGCCAAAAACTTTTTTTTTAAATAATTTGCTTAAGCTAGGAGGGTGTTCTATCAAGAATTTAGCAACTGGTTTTTTAACAAATCAAAACTGCTGCATTTCTTACACAGGATTTATACTGGTCTGGTCTAGACTAAAACCATCGATTAGTTATCCGTTCTTAGTTCTTATTCATTAGGGTAGGTAATTATGATACTTGCATAAACGTGCTTTTCCTTCGGCGAAATTGGGCGAAGTGCGTTGCGTTGCGGCGTGGAGGTAACTTTGGAAAATGCGAAGTATTATTAAGCGACAGAGCAAAACGATGCTTATTTTCGATAGTGTCTGTCTATCCTGCTGCCTGTGTACACAATAATTGGCAAACGCTTAGACCGTTTCGGTCCTAATTTTGCACAGTTAACAGTAAACACCATTTTCCACCCCTTTCAACCCCCGGGATTTCACCCACGGAAAAATTCAGCTGTTTTACTTTTTCCCAATTTCTAATCATTTCACCTGCCTGAAAAACCCGGTTTCGCCGGTAACTAATTTTTTTCAAAATAAATTATTTTAGAACTAATTAGTCTGGACTATTTTATTTACATTGGCTCCCTACTTGTTTTAATTGACTATTAAAAATGTACCTAATCATTTGTCTGATATAGGGTGCAACGTTCAGGGCCCTTAATACGCCACTGCCTGGCTGGAGCACGCTTAGGCCCGGACGCCCATAAAAGCAAGTTTATTCAGCATAATGTTATTAACTATTAACTACCGACAGAGGTACTTTAATAATAATAAATTGTTTTTTTCTACAACTGTCAAAAAAACCTGTCATTTTCTGACGAATTTCGAAACGCGAAGTACTAGATTTTTAAACGGTTAATTAATAAGTAAGGTTACTCTTGACAACGTGCGCGAAATAGTCAACAGTGAAAAAATAACTATTTCTGTATTTTAAGTTTTTCCTAGTAAGAGTCAAGTCTAACTAGGAGATATAAAAAGTGATTTGGCCTATTGTTTTTGCTTCATTTATTGTAATTGTATGTAAATCTTCATTTTCAAAATTATATACTTAATTATATAAGCAATTTTGACAGGAAAGGGATACTTTGAGGAACAATACACAATTAAAAGCAATAAAATTTATTTATTACTAACAAATATAATTTGTTTTATATAATATATATAAAACTATTCTCTTTAATCAATATCACAGGAAAAACTGCTTGAACAGCAACAGCATATTATGGCCACCACAATGTTAAGCAACAAAATTTTTACAGTTTTATATACATTAGGAATAATAAAAAAAATCTACATGTGAAAAACTAAACTAAATTGAATACATAAGCTAAACTGAAAAATTTTTCTACATACATGAGATCTTTTTTAATCAACAACTATTATGTACAATAATTAAGTTAAAAAATGGCATAATCGTGAGTAGGATTACAAGCAAGGTAAATGCATTTTGGCACGTGGAATTCGATAAGTAACTAGTATAACTAACGAACAAGTTAAGTAACAATAGAATTTAGTGCAGCCAAAGCGGAAGAAGTTAAAACTATACACTTTGTACACGTTTCCCCAATGTGGGGCATACATTTTATGTACAAGCAAAATTGTTTAGTATTGCCAAAAGTATTGCACGTTTGCAATCTAATTTGAATTAGTGGGTTATCCTGGAGCACCATAACAATATAGATAAAAACACCTGAGACCTGTCGATGTTTTGGATTATGCACTAAAAATATAAATTAGGATGTCCTTTTCTGGTAACTAGCGCGAGTTTATGTTGATCCAAAACACCCCACTCAGATACTAATTGCAAAACTCGGCCATTTTCGGTCATTCTATACACTTAAACCTAAACTCATCACAGAAGTGTGCTTAAATACAATTTGTCACAGCTAGCTTCTTAAAACACAGTGGGCTTTTCCTTCCTCCGAAATCACGTTCACGAACGCCGCCCAATCTTCGAGCCTGGGCGCGCACTGAAGAGTTAAATCGCCCAGTTTTCTCCTGGCCATAAAGACAAACTCTCCAAGCCCGTGTTTCACCCCGCAATGTTGGGGGACTTGAACGGTAATCTCTTTCGTAACGTCTCCGCTATCGATCGAATTTTCGCTTTCCTCCCAATCGTCTCTGTAACCCTCGTCGGCGGTATGTCGGATTAATTTCGTAACTTTAACAGAAATTTGCGACACCTCCAAGTCGTCATCGTTCTCGATTCCGTGGATTATTCCCCTCGTCACTGCAACAAAAAGGAATACAATTAAATGGCAAGTCATAATTTTGAAGTTTGTTTAGACTACCATTGCAAACAAAGGAGGTAGCTTGGAGAAATACGTGATGTTTGGCCATTTCGTGCCAATAAGCTACAAATAGAAGATTTAAAATATTTGTACGCGTCCCACACGAGCGCAATTCATCAAAAATTATATGCATTGTGTGTGAATAGCAAAAACTGGCTTGAAGGCGTTTGAATACATTAGCTTTTTCAGTTATTAATGACGGTCATTACGATCTTGGATGTTTTCAACCCTCAAACTCAAAATACACGCACAGAGCTTTGCCTAATTACCCGGACGATGTATAAAAAAGTAATTAACGCCATAAAAATTTTTATTTGACAACTAATGCAGCGCCGAAAGATATTCAGTTATACGAAACCAGTTGAAAAAAACTAATATGACGTAGCTCGTCTTAATAAACCGGCGCCATCAGTATCACACAACCGGATTTTCTGGTGGTCAACAATAAAATTTGTATTAAATCAATCGTAAATGTGAATACGGCACAAACCATATGGTCGTCTCGTAATGGACATCTTTTATAATCGCCTACGATTTGGAGATTTTTACATATTTTGTGACCTGCCGAGGTCAGATTTGTATAAGCAAATTTCTGTGTTATTCATTATATCGTCTTTATATGGAAAAATATTTATTTTGTGCCTGTATAAGTGGGCATATTAATTTCAATGTTAATATTAAATGACGTTGCTTATGGACATATGGATTGCATTACTTCACTCAAGTGTCCTTCCCACTCAATTAAAAATCGTTTTACAGCGCCAGCTTATATACTTAGAAAGAAAGTGTATCTTTGTAAGAGAATGTTGCGAAATTGTAACAAGCAAAACCATTGATCCAGATTTCTATTGACATTGTATTTCCGTCTTACATTAAAGAAAAATTGTTATGCCAATGAAGCCTTCTAGAAGTGAGGGGGTATGGTATAGCTGAACGCCAAAATACGTTGAATACTCAAAAATGAAAGTAAGCCCACTGGCGTCAAAAATACCTGTAGTGATGAGAAATTATTTATTGTACAGGGTGGTTCAAATTCGTGGCTCAACATTGGGATCTCTGTAACGGTGACAATCGATTGTGACAAAAAAAGGTTTTGAAATTTTTGGAAAATGTTTGAAAATAACTAAGGTATCACTGAAAAACTGAAAATTTATTTATTTAAAGGGTTGTCTTTAATATCAACCACAATATTTGATATAACTACTGTCATTTTTTGCTTGGACTAAACACCCCTAAATATAATTTACCGATCTAATTCTATGCAAATTTTTGTATATTTATTGCTGTCGTTCTTAGTCGTTACATGAAATATGTACGGGTACAACCTCTTGGTGGCGAACTATGCAGTAAATTTAAAAGAAATTTGAAAGTACAAAATTTCGATTTTCGAACATATGCACATCACAACTAATTGCAGCCTTCATGTCTGAAGGGGAGAATTCTGATTGTTCCGCCCCCACTTGCGAAAAGCCAAGTTTTGCCTCTTAACCAATAGATAACTGGTGAAAATTCTTCCGTTTTAGTGGTTTTTGATTTTGCAGTTGCTTTCCCCGTGTAGGGGCGGGTAGAAGAATACCCCCACCGCAGAGACACTGCGTGTCGTAAAAGGCGACTAAACAACGGAGGTAGAGGCGGGCATGCAACCTTGAGAGAAGGGGTATTTTGTTCGTCAGCAAGCTTTTGTGTCATTCGGAAATAGCTTTCTCAGATCATAACAATTAAGTACCAAAATACAATTTTTTATGGCGGAGAGGATGAAAACAATCTGCAGCCGAAACCGCGCATGTCCCATCCAAGGGCGACATTGGAATTGTTTAACTTCTGCTGGTTTAGGCGAGTATAGTCTTAGAAAATGAATTATAAAAAAACACTGTAACAGATTTCAGGAATTTTTAAACAAACTGCTAAGGTTAGTCGACTTTATAGTGGTTTTTTAGGAGCACGTTTCAAGAAAAACAACGAAAGCTAATACCCGCGTAAATTTCATCACAGAGCTTGAGATCTCAGAACTCAGACTGGCTGCTGTTGCGGTTTTTTTGCGTTATCGGTGTAAATGCTTATAGGGACGATCAGGTACATTTCGGATTTCTTATTTCAACTACTGATGCAAAATTGGGTTAGCGCATGAACACATCCACTTGAACGAAAAATTTGCAGACGCTTTTAGGAGAAGTGCGAGTACAATAAATTTTGGTGATATACGGCGAGCCAGAAACTGAGAAAATTTGATTCGATATTTCCATGTTTAAAGATTACAATTTTGGCCAGATGGAAATTTTTTGGCTCCCTCATTTAGAGTGGCACGATCTTGGGGTAAGATATTATTACTTATTTCATTTAGGCTAGGGGCATATTAGAAGAAGAGATGTTAAAAAAGTGCCCATTTCAGTCTGTATTGACTAGACTAGGATTTTCATGTACTTTGTTACGTTTTTTTCTTACCAATTAATATTCCTGATTTTAAATTCCATTTAAGTAACTTTTTGATTTCAGTGCTGTTCCTCCAATATGATACTCCAAAATAACTTCAAATTATTTTAATTTAAAATTGTTTTATAAGATTTTTTGACGTTTCGGCATTGATTAATGCCTTCCTCAAGACGACATGCCGAAACGTCGACAAATTTTATAAATAAAAATTTTAAAATTAAAATCATTTGAAGTTATTGGAGTTATATATTGGAGGAACATCGCCGAAATCAAATAGTGAAAACTAACAACCCTTTTTTAACTTTTTGATTCTCCGTCTCGTGTATATTTGATATTTTTACGCCATCTAGGCATTTCCTTTGTAATCGCCTAGTTTAAATCCAAGTGTAAGAATCCTTAGTACAATAGTACTTTGTTTCCCCGACGGAGATCGTGCAGATGTTCTATCCCTTTTTTTAAATTTGGTCTTGCGTATAAGTTGTATTTCTTTTTCCCTTCAGAGTAGAGTCTGTCATATTGGTTACATGCCAATTATTTTCCTTCGGTACGCCATTACTTTTTTATTCCGTATCTACCTGTATAAGAGGTTATTGGTTTTGGCTGTCACCATATCTTTGGAGTGGTTTATCTCTTTCTTTTTCATGTCTGTGGCTCTGCTACATTGAAGCGCTTTAGGCTGATGTATTTGCACTAATCAGTACGAGGTATGTACATTTATGACGCAACATTTTTCTTAATACGTGTTTTTTTAGAGCTCTAAGTTCTCACTTACGCAGTATGTGAATTTTTACACGTCTACCTACATTAACCTGGTGAACCTTCTTCTACCAACATTACTACCTACTTCGAAATATATACCTGGAGGTTTCAAGATAATAACTGCAACTGTAAGTATTACGAAACTGTTGGATATCATTGTCTTGTAAATTGCTCCGATAAGTATATCTGATTTTACTTGCACAACCTATGTCGCTACGAAGATATATTTCCTTTACCCGATTTTGTCTGCGCTACTTTCAGATTACTACGAAGATTCATTTCCACATTGTATTAATTATTTAATATCGGCCGCGTGTCAGACGTTAGTATTGCTTTCGTAATATTTTATGTGCCGCACTATTCACTCCTCTCTTATTTGTTTGTTCGTGTCGTCATCTGTTACGCGTTACGGATTAGGCACAACGCGCCCTTTTGAGCTCAATTTAAATTTAAACTTGATATTACAGATCTATATATTACAGTATCCTATTTTTAATATTTTGAGAGCATTTATTAAATCACTTTTGATTTACTAAAGATTAAGTGGCGCTAACAAACTACAAAATCAAAAATTACAAAAGACCGTTGTTGGGGAGCCAGCTTCAGATTATATTTAAAAAAAATACAGAACCCAAAAAAACAAAACATATCGAACGACCTCAAAATTTATTTTCTACAAAACGATAAAAAATAGTCGATATATAGAGACAATTCCACTGAAATATCTGCACTTTTTTTAATCGACACTGTGCGTGTTATGAATCACTTATGATCATTTGAACAAAAGTTAATTCTACCTGGAGTGTTTATTTTCGATTTAAATGTTTTTTGCAACCCGAGTATAAAAATTTGGATTTTATTCATTTTGGAAAGTGAACGTGAAAAGGTTTCGAAGAACAACCATATTAAGGGCGTTTCAGATAATGTAGCAAAACGGTATCGTCCGGGGAGGGGGTTTCATACAGTGTGTTTCTGTTAAAATCAGCGTTGCGAAAAATAACCCGACTGAGTGAGTTGGTAGATTCTTGCTTTGGTACGTGGGTAGCAACTTTCAAGGTACTTCCACAGTATGGTCGCAGTGTATATCATTGTTTACAAGTATTGTTAAAGGGTCCTATGATCTGGCACATCTGGCGTTTTGAAATTTGGAAATTAATTCCTGATGTGTTGTTTTCAGTGGTCATGAATGTACCAAAATCGCTCTTGACCGTCTCCATATTGCTACAAAAATTCATTTTGCTATATTTATCTCAGGATTTTTAAATAATTGTGAAATTATTAAAATTAATTTCGTACCCTCAGTTTTTTCAAATAGAATCGCAGTGGCTAATTTTGGTATTTTGAATTTTCAAATTCATAGAATCGTTCGTTTAATCTACAATGGAACAAAAAAACACGCATTTTTTGTGTTATATTCATGTATCGGTTAATTATTTTTACACACTTCGTACAAAATTGTCTGTAAAACCCAAAAATGTAACAATTGATTTTTACTTGTAATCCAAAATTTTTTATATCCGTATCGTATCAACGCCACCAAAATTACAGGGGCGAGCCTATCAACAGGCACTTCCACATGATTGTATAGTCCGTTCCAAAGCAATAACCTCATTGCTTATTATAATTAATCAGTCAGGTATTTCCAATAATAAGAAGGGTGGAAAAAGTAAGTTTCTACCCTTATGAATTAAAAAAAAACTGAATCCTCTATAGTATATACAGGCTGTTTCACGTAAACCGTTGCCTAAAAGTATTCAGGGTCTCATTGATAAGTTAAATCTGAAAATGTGAGTCAAAAAGTCTTCCAAAATCAACAATACTGATGACTTGGTGAGAATGATATAAATTTCTATTGCCCTTCTACATGCTTGATTTGAAAAAATGAAAGTTATTAAAATTGACCATCAGTTTTAAAACGCCCTGTAGAAAGTCGATCAATATTTTAATAATTCTTAAGTTAGTGTAGATTTTGGTCTCATTTTTTTTTAATTCAAATCAACGGAATCATAGGTGTCTACAGGTATGAAAAGAAAAGCAGTCAAGCGTCAAAAATTTTGAATAACTTGAAAACCTTTGATGCTGTGTATAGGAAAATGTGGTATCAAACGACGTAGATTTTCATCTAGATTTCAAAAACAGAATGTTCTATAAAAAATAAGAAAGTTGCCATCAACAATCGGGTGTGAAACAGTCAATGAGAGCCTGAATACTTTTAGGTAACGGTTTGAGTGAAACAGCCCGGATACATTTCCCGCATTCTGTGCTATTTATAAACAAAAAAATTTTTTTTCCTGCCCAACAAGGTTTTTTTGTTAGATACATGGGCTGCAGTACTGTTGGTCAACAAACAACATACCATCATTCCCCAAAACTTGGGAATTTTTGTACTCCCCCGATTTTCACCTACTCGACTCAAGCAGGAGTAATCGGACCCGAACCAAAGAGTATGCCATAAACTTGGTGATGATTATTGTATGTATTTGATTAGGCTCGTGAGCGTTAAAATCTTTAGCTCATTTTACAGTGTATGTGAGATCCGCCCAATTTCCAAAAGGAGTAAGTAGGTAATAATAGTAGTCGCGCAAAAAGTTTGCTTCACACATAATAACACACTTGAAGTTAGATACCACCCTCCTTCAACATTTTTGCATGGATATCGATTTTAAATTTCACCCTCAAGCAGTGACCCGATCAATCGAATGACGCGAAAATTACTTTCGAAATTAAATAATTGCCAAATTGTTACGAGACCCATTTCTTAATAAATAATGATAGTCCGAAAGTGTACGATTAATAATCTTCTCCTCTCAACAACGCATTATTATTACCCGAAACCAAATGTCAAGATATACGCATTTTGGGGTCGTGTGAAACGCCAAAGAATATCAAACAAAAGCTACTTACCAAGGTCGCTGGTGCAAAAAGTGTGGGCCAGTTCTTCCGCGCTGCACGGTCTACATTCTGAAAGGATAATTAAAATATAGTACTAAAACCAATAAACGGCAACTTTCACTTATGTGAGAAAACGTCGTAACATCCGCTCAATGTTTATCAAGCGTATAATTAAATAATAATTAATCAGCCTAATTACCTTCGGTCGGATCGTACGCTTGACTTCCTTTTGGTAACGGTTCGAGATCGTATTCAATTTTGGCGACCCTCTTGATCATGCTGCTGCCGCCGATCGCCTCGATGTAAAGGGCAACCTGACCGTGGCGACTTTGGAAACATCTACAAAAAACCGCGCGCGTTTAAAGAGAATCCCGATAACAAGTTTACGGATATTACCTGACGGGTTTATGTCCCCCATTTTCATGTGAATAGAGGGGCAATAAAGATCTTGGCCCTTCCAAAAATAAACGAGCGGCTAAATGTTGATTTACGCCGTCGGGATGTACTTTAATACAAGCCCTAAATTCTCTATCTCGTCCTGGTAGGCGAAGTAGTACTCTGAGTGCCCCTCGGGGGTAAAGCCACGTGACCCTACCTGTTGTACATCTCAGGTAAACCGGCGTCACCCCTCGATCTTCTGACGATGTCGTTAAACCGCTGTAAATAAAAGGATCGTTTTAGAAAACTTCAAATTTACACACAATTATGGGGGGTTGTGCCATTTTTCCTTTCATTAACCAAAACTTTGAATGAATAAAAAGTGAAGATCTGGACCATCTGGTAAAAATCATCACAGCGATGAAGATGGCGACATTCCAACGAATGTAAAGTAGTAACGGAATACATTTATGCACAGATGGTTAATTTTACAAGACGTATTAATGATACCGTTACTGAATAAGATTTTAAAAGCAAAGTGTCATAATTAATAGCCGTTAAAATCACGTCTGGGAGGCTTAATCGACTTTCCATTATTGTAGACGGGCCGTTTCCGGGCTTTAGCCCAAAATTGCCGACGGTAAAAGGTCATAAATGCGAGAGTTTACCTGGTCAGGTGCAGACAGACGGTAATTATACAAATCAAAAGGTTACGGAAGACTGCTTTGAAGTGCCGTCTTGACTGGGACTAATGGATGTTCGGCTGTAATTTTGCAGGAGATAAAAATGGTGATGACAATTAAAATTGAACAATGCGTACGTAAACCCCATACTTCCTGACAAAGATGCAGGTTTCGTGTTGGTAGGGTTGCGAAGAAAAGATGTACACCTGAACTGTCTAAATGCTGGCTCAAATTACAAAGACGAAAAAGATCAGTTTGCCAACAGGGGGACAATTCACGTGTGTTGTCTTTCAACAAAATTAACTAATCTCGTCTTTATGCCCATTAGCTATTGAGTGCAGCCGTCAGGTGCCGGTGGTAGGCGATAGCATTGACAACAAACTACACGCGCTTCTTTTGATTGCAAATAAAGAACTCTCCTTTTAAGGCTCTTGTTACTGGAATTGCAATTTAGCGATGGCCGTCAGACGGTCTGATGGCACGTTATTCAATCTCTTTTTTACGTGCCATTACACTTTTTTGATTGTCCCTTTCGATAAAACCCCAAAGAACCTCCTTGATTAAACACGCAAAAAGCGCCAATTTAATTCTAATTACCTTCGCCAGGAATTTAAATTAAAGTTCTCTAACAGTATAATTTAATTTGGAAGAAATAATTCTACAGACATGCAACAAAGGCAATGGGCCTTGCTGTTCAACCTTCCTTCTTATAAAACATTCACGCGGCTATTATTTCACAAGTCTTGGTCGAGGAAAGTGAATGGGGTTTGGATTCAATTACGCTATCGTTTTTAATTATTTATCAATAGGTATATGCAAATCACGCCTTTGCATTCACTTTGTTGACTGTCGTGGTAAAAATTTCAAACACACACGCGAGTAAAAGTAGCTCAGTTTCTCTCTGGAAGTTATATGTACGAAGAGACCACGCCTTGATCTAACTTTCGATTAAGTACTGCTTTTAGTGTCTAATAATTATCTATTAATGGATGACTAAACACTAATCAGGTTCTCAGTTGTGTAAGAGATTCATGGACTGATATAAATCTAGTTTGATCTATGAAGAGAAGGTTACTGAACAGTAAGGGCTTAAAAGCCGTTCAGTGAATTCCCAGATCCAAGATCAATCTAAACTATAATTTTTTTTAAATTAATTTAAGCAGGTTTTTACTTCAACCGGCAGCAATACCATTAATTATGTTTAAGTCGCCAATTTTTTGCACGTGAGCATGAAGATCTCATCTTAAAAGACACGATTTTCGTTAAATTGAAGCAAAATGACTAAATTAAAGCCGAATCTAAAAATAAGAACACGTTTGGGATTGGGCTCACTCACCGTTTTGGTTTCCATTCCACATTTTTGTAGGTATATAGACGTTAAAGGATATCGTTCACAAAAGTTCTCTTGAAAAAAGTGTTGTAGTACTCGTCGTAGTAGCTAGTGGATTTTGTTGTAAATTACAAAATTAGAAAAATACAATATTCAGGATCTACTATACTAAAAGAGTTAGGGGGACAATAAGGGGTTGATTAAGAAATCGGAAAGTCAGCTGGAATAAATTTTTACAAAATTTCAAATGAATGTTGATCACTAAAGGGGTACGACTATCAAAACTTCGAATAAAATTGAGAGAAATTGAAGCTTCGTTAGGAAGGAAGTCGTTAAGTTAATCCAAATAATTCTTTATGCAAAACATTGATATTGAGTGGACATGAAAATTCTTTAAAAAATGAAAATGTTGGGTATGTACGAGTATGTAATTTTAACTTAAAAAATATCCCAAGGAAGTGTAGTAAAACGACTCAAAAATCCAGCGTTGTTTGATCAAAAAAAAAAGTTCCCTAAACTTACGATTGAGCACGCTTTAAAAATTCTTATCGATTTTCAGTAGGGGAATGTTTTGCCACTCGGCTCGCATTCGGAAATGAGACTTTTTATCCGGCTCATATTCAATAGCACTGCTCCTTGAAATCGTAGAAATTGATTGGCGACAGTTTGACATCGCTATCTATTTTCGTTCTCGAGTTAGACTAACAGACGGACAAATCCATCACATAAGGGAATTTTTTCTCTTTTGAAAAATTTCCCTAAACCGAATGCAAAAGTGTATTGTGTTTCTCTATGTCTACTTTTAAATGGCAAAATCTCTTTTGAAGGGCGCCTAATTTTATGCATCCAAAATAACTTCTTAAAACAAATAAAGATTTGACTGTCATTGTTAATTATTTTGCATATTGTTGTTTTGACTTCGCGGAAAGTAAATCTCTTACGCTCTCTGAATTGTTACCGACGTTATACCAATTGACAATATCAACTTTCCCTTCAGTTAAATACATCGCACGCGAACGAAAATAAAAATGTACAGAAGCCAAAGCAACAATATTCAAATTAATTAATATGACACCAAGATCTTTATTTGTTTTAAGTAGTTGGTTGTATAAAATTTTGTTTTTCTGAAACTACTTAAAAAACTACTTTCGTCTCTAAAAAGGGTGAAGAAAATGCAATTTTCCCCTCTAGTGAGGAAAGTAAAAAACAATTGCTGCGTTAATCTAATAATGACATTTGAAATTGAAACATACCCGTATCTAGGTTGCTATATCTGTCACAGTTAATTATTGCAAACAATAATTATTCAATTTTGATTGTAGTTTCAAAAAATATGTGGAAAACTTGAGAGGAAAGTGTTTTTTTTCAACTCGAGTTCAAAGTTTGCGTAGTTGTACAAATAACTATTTTGTCAGTTAAAAGTAGACATAGGGAGAAACAATGCACGTAAATCCCTATGTCTACTTTTTAATAAATATTTTACTAGAATGTACCGAATACACTTATTATTAAAGATAATTGATTTTGGTAAAATCTTTATTATGTATTATCCATCGCGATCCCCATTTTTATACGGTGTGTTTGGTTTTTTATACGACCCTAAACTACATTTTTTCATACGGACCATCCTATATATGGAGCGATACATCAAAATTTCGGAAATTTTACGCTTTTTTATTATTAATTATGTGCAAGGACCTACTCTGAACGTGCCTTCATATAATTGGTATAAATGGAAGTAGTTTAGATTTAATCGAATAATCGTAGATGTTGAATAATTGCGTTTAATCATCAGGTAATAGTCACAGTAAGTGTGAGATATGAGGTGGCGTAAAAGAACAAGTTTGGGGTGATAACAGAAATATAATTTAGTATTATTCAAACTAGTCATTTCGCGACTGTTGTCAGTGTATGTCCGGTTCGCTTTGTGTTTTAGTGTTGCGTAGCTGCACAACTGCAAGGAAATCATGTGAATTTGGGCTTAAGGTACACGAACACAGATCTTACTTCTAGGCTAGTCAGCAAATCCTTCACAGGATCTAAGGTGCGAACATTAGAAACTTTTTAGAAATTTAAAATCTTACTAGAAACTTTTGAAAACCTTAGCGATGTTCTTTGAGTCCCAGAATCTTTTCATAAATGTTTTTTTTAGATGTTCTTAGCAGTTTCCTTATAAACACGTACAAAAATCTCCCTGCAAGTGTTTTCAGGAAATTTCTTGGCATAGGCATGTTCCTTTTTATTGGAAGTTCTACAAATATTTTGCGAATTTGTTCGGAATGCCATATATCTAAATCCCTTAGAGACCTTACAAATTTAAAATAATTTCTAGGGTTCGTCCTAGAAAACTTCGAGTAAAACTTTTCTTACTGTCCTGAAGTTCCGAAGTTATAATCACATCACCATCTCTAAAATTGTGATCGTGTTTGACTGTGAAGTTTTAAAACTCTTGATCAACCCCTTTAAATAATTGCAGTAGGGGCACTCAAGATACTAAATGGGGGATATACGAGCGCCGTAGGGACCTATTGAACTTTTAAGATTAGATTTTATTTTACATTTATATCTTATTTTAATTTATATATTTACGCAAGGTAATGAAAAAAAAGGCATTTATTATTATTATTAGATGGTAGAAAGAAAAAAGTAATATATTGTACATCCCTCCACCGGTGGGAGGCTGCACTTTTTTAATAATGCAAAAAAAGTACTCGAGCACGTCAGATAATGGTAGTGCATATGTCCATCTCGGATATTGGAGGTCTGCCGGTTTGCATGATGGGGGAGGCTGTACGGAAGGGTAGAAAAAGCGTCAGATATTTGGAGCGTTGTATACGTAGGTATAATTTATTTATGACACGATTGCCTATGATCCTAGTCAATGACGTGCTGAACACACTGAACTTTATTGAAGATATGTGCCACTTTGTGGCGTTCGCCATTTTGGAACTGTGAAGTATTCAGAGTGCTTCCCGTATTTAAAAAAAAAAGGTAAATTGTAACCCAATATCAAAAATCATCATTTTGGATTTAGATTTTCAATTGAAAAAGCGCATGTTGTTTCCTTTATAATTAGTAATTTAGCATCTTCTAGATTAACTCTATTTATACAACTACCGGAAGTCACCCCATAACCACAGGTAGCAGAAAACCTGCTACGTTCTCGGTACGGTAAGGTATACATTTACAATTAAAAATACCGACCCAACTGGGGCTATGTAGATTCTGTGTTAGATAAAGTTTCGGTTCAAGTAATTGTGCAGCAT